TGTTTCAAAATAGATAGCACGGAAAAAAAAGTAAATGGTTTTAGGAGGATGGAGCGTGAAGGCTGCAAAAGAGAGAGACTGGAAAAATTAGAAGCAGAGCATCACCGACGACCGACGAGAGATTTGGACTGGAATTTGGAAAGAAAGAAAAGAAAGTATGGCTCTAATGGGTTGCCTCTAAACTTTTGTCTGCGCCTCTCAGCCTCTCTGACATAGCGTGTGTAGCCACTTAGCCTACCACTCAATAGTCATAGTCTTTCTGATGGGATGATAGAATTATTACTAGTCTGGCACTTAATTCATGCCCTCTCTCGTTTGGGTAAATAAAAATTATTTATATTATGTATTCTGTGAGCAGCTGGGATTACAATTTTATTGTTTGATAAAATATTTCTTAATATTCGTGTATTTTGGTATTATTACGGTTAAATTATCATTATATTTTTTTATATTTTGATATTATGATAATCAATGTTTTATTTTATTATTATTATGAATTAAATTATATCATTTTAATATGACCGGTTTGACCCGAGTTAATTGCGGTCTGACCCATTAACCCTTGACCCATTGACTTGACCGGTTTAGTGTCCGGTTCGGTTTTTGTTCCTTGCTAAAAATAATGAATTTAAAACACTAATTACTCCTGAAAATATACTTTATAGTGCTGAATACACTAAAAATTAATTAATTTAAAATAATAGGCATTTTTTTTAAAAAAATATTTTAGAGTACTAAATCCAACTTAACCCAAATAAATAAAAATAAAAACTAATTAAAAATTATAAATAAAAAAAAACAAACAAACAAGGGATGGGTTCCATCCAAACGGTGCCATATGGGGATGAACATGCCATACTCATAGATGCAATGAGGATGGCTGCAGACTCAGCAAGAAAGTGTTTTCTCTTTCTCTTTTCAATGAGCTTACAGCCCTGCTCTATTCATTCTATACAGTAATTCCTCTGCATTTTCTTATTTTCTTTCTCTTCTTGTCGGAAAACAAACCGATTGTTTACACTGCTACTTCAGTATGTTTTTTGTTTTAAATAGTTTAATTATTTGGTATTTTTCAATCTATATACTTCATATCTTCTTTTAATATATATTTATATACCACGTAGAGTAAAAATGCCCTGACCTTATTTTTCAGGTGTAATTATAAAATTACACTAAGAAAAAAAGTTCAAAATAAAATTGCACTATTAAAAAGATTGAGAGTAAAATTACACATTTATCTTTCAACTTATGGAAAGTGAAATAAAGTAATAAATCACATATGGTGAAAATTTTATCTCTGTATAAAAAATGTATTAGTAGTTTTTAATTGCCTGTAAATTTTATTATGACTTGAAAAAAAATATTTTTTAAGAATCACGATGTATAATTTTCTTTAGCCTAAAGCATATATTTAGTACTTTAATTTTACAGAGAGCCACAATCCTCTATTTATCAATTCAATCATTAATGTCTCTGAGCATTGATATTTTTAGAGTAGACATAATGAAAAGACAGCAAAAAATTTTTTAACAGAACAATTGTGTGCTTTTCACGGAAATTTCTTGCAAAAAAGCAAGTGACGAGAAAACCAACCATTTGAACTCAATTTATACTATTGGCTATGTAAACACTAAAATCACTTAGAGGCAAAAGACATAACTTGCAGCACCATTTGACATAACAATATAGAAGTGAAAAAACTTTCTAACACAAGTACATAATAACACACACAAAAAAAGCTTGTATAACAACTTGACGTAATTACCATTTTCTCTGTATTCATTAGCAACTCTAACACATTTGTTCTACTTTTTAATCACAGGCTCTAAAAAAAAATATTAACACAGTTAATAACACTCTATATTAAATTCTTTTATTTGGATATTTGAAGTCTTAAATTTTCATTTTATTAAATAATGTAATTATAATTAGATTTTTTAATTTTAATTTTAAGTAATATCAATGTCTCATATAATTGACAATGAGAAATTTTGATTTTATAATTAGATAGTTTGATTTATAATTAATTAAAATTGTATATTTTGATATATCATTGCAGTTTTAATCATGTTATAATATCATTTATTAAATCAATTTTTTAAATTATATAAAGTGAATTTTATAAAGAATAAAATAACTAAAATCTAATAAGAAGTAAAGTTTAAAAACTCAGAGAATATTGTATCCTATTATGATATTGTCATTATTGGTATTTATTAAGACTTTAATTATGTTCTGATACCATTTATTAAGCTCTGATACCGGTTTTTATAATTTAAAAGAAATTAAATTTTAAAAATAAAGTTATTAAGTTATATTGGTGTTGGATCATTTTCACCTCATCTCCTCTATTTTCTTGAAATGTAATCCTTTCATCTTTTTCAGTTTTTTTAATAAATATATCATTTTTTTTGTTTTTTTTCTTAATATAATATATTAATGAAGTAGTCTTTGTTCATTAAGTGGAAGTGTTCTCATTATTCATAAAGTTTTCTTCTTAAAAAGAAATATAATTTGGAAATTTGTCAGAAAATATCATATTTGATTTTGATGGTGTCATTATCATTATAAGTAAAATGGTAGTTTGAATAATGCATAAAAAAATAAGAAGAGCTTCAAAGATCATGTAGTTTTGTTTAGCATATCAACAAAATAGTCTAGATCGATACAATTGCCTCCTTTAGACTCTACTAAATTAGTTTCTTTTAAGCCTACTAAGTATATTAAAGAACTTACTTTTCCCTCTACCATTCATGTCGAATATGTAATATTTGAAATTAAATTGTAAGTGATGAATAAAGGTATGAATGGTTAGACTCAGAAAGATAATACCAAATCTTCTACAAGCTTATAGGACCCGTGACTTTGTTGAGAAATGAGATTGTGTGTAGTAAATATCACATATTTAAAAGAAATTTTTATATTGAAAGTGGAAGAGTATCAAAGATGATTTTTATAAATATAAAATCTTATTACTAGTACGATATGATGATTTGTACCAGCAGGTTTGAAAATGCTGATTATATCCTTAACCACATAAAAATGTCAATGGCCACCGAAAACAGGAGACATTAAAAAATAGTATTCAACTTTTAATGTTCCAGAATAACATTAAATATAAACAAATGTACATGATTATTTTGAATATGTAGTAAAATGGATAGGAATGGATATAAATGGTTGGGGTATGACCTCATTCAATTTTTCCTATGGTCTGTTTAATATGAGGAAAATAGAAAGAAGAAAATGGGAGAGAAAATTTTAATGAACTTGATTTAAAAAATTAGAAAAGTGAGATTAAAAATTTTTAACTAAATTTACTTACTACTTTATCTTACATCTTCTCTTTATTAAGATTTTATAACCCCACTTTGCTAATTTTTTAAATTGTACTCATCAAAATTTTTTCTTTCTTTTCCTCCTTCCCTTTCAATTCTGCGGTATGATGTACAGGGTAAAACTTTCATATTATATTGGTCCCAATTTAAAAGTGATCTCATGGTGTTGGCGTTAATCAAAGATTTTAAGTTCTTATCTAGGATATGAACAAAAGTTCATAGGCACTGGTAGGACATGCATGGCAATTGTTTGGGTCAGTTGGTTGGTCCATATTGTCCCTTTTTGTCCTACTTTATTTTTAGTCTTTTATACTATTTGATTTGATTTATAGAATATTATATGATCTTTTTATCTTGCTCAAATAAAGTTGATATTATACATAAAAAAAAAGGTCAGAAACAAAGTATGTGTGTGCGCATTTATAAATGTAGCAAAAATACTTTAATAAATTCAATGAATACTACCTCTGGTTCTAAATATAAATGCTTTTTAGTGGTTTTAAATATAATATCCCAATTTATTTTTTCTTTTAAATTTATAATGTGTTCTCAAGAATATCCCTATTTATTATAAGGTATTTCCATCCAAGTGTAGCTAAAATATACATACTTAGATAAAGTAGTTTAAGAAAATCAACACATATTTGTTACAAATAATTAACTTAACTAATTTTCTTAATCTTTTCAAATTAGTTATCTAACTCTTATATTAAGTAGCAGTGCTAATATGTGTGTATATATAGTATTTTATGTTTATTAGGACGCTAATGCAATTTTCCCATTTATTTATAACAAAGATACATTTTAACCTCACCCAATTCCTTGCAATTTCAGGAACTTTGGTTTAGTTTAAACTAAACTTCTCCCCGGGTTGCACGTGGGGTATGAAATATAAAAATATTATATGGTAGAATTATTTTAACATGGTAGTACTTGCAACATGAATTTCATCTACGTAATATCTGAATGTGCATTTCGTGCCAAACAATCAGCAAACTTCAAAACTTTCCTAATAGCATGCGAGCAATTTCAATATCCCAATCTTCATAATCAACTGTCTTGTCTCCTCAATAATCTGTCCATACAGACGGTTCTCTCCACTATCTCTAAACCCGATCCCTGTATCAATCGGCTAATACAAGATTTCAAAGATATAGTAACTAGGTGACTATCGAACAAAACAAGAAAATCAGCAGGTGAATAAAATACCTTGAATGCAAGACCCGACCCGCTTGCATCTCAATGGGGTATCACAAGATTTCAAGTATAAAGTTGATGATTGATTGATGATGATTGCTGGTCACTTTAATAAATTCAATAAATGCTATAATTATTTATTTAAAATTTATTTTTGAAATTTAACAAGTTTAATAACTCGAGAATAACGGAAAATTAAAAAATTTTGTGATAAATATTTCCTAAGTTAAACTAAAGCCTGAATTCTCATTTGGAATTAATTATTAAAATGGTTGTTTTTTTATTTTGAATTAGTATTCACTTTAGGTTCCGTCAAACCAAAACATGTTCACTTTTGGTTTTGGTTGGCGGGCCCAAAAGCAAAGTTTTAGGCTTGGTTCAGGAACGGAAAATTTACTCTACAGGCGTCAGTGATCACAGTGCTTTTCTTTTGTGGAATCCGCCCGAGCCAGATGGGAATGGATAATGACGCGCCTTATCTTCCCCCAGAAATACAGGCCAAAAAAAGAATCTTCCCCTAAAAATCATCAGAGGCATCCTCAAACGACTTCCGGCAAAGATTGGAAAAATCTTGTAAAAAACCCATCTTTCATCGCGGAACACCTTCAACAATCCAGTCATCAAAACCCTTCTCTTCTTCTTTTCCAATGGAATAGAAGTGATAATCCTTCGTGCTGGCCGTTGCGTTTGCTGGATTGTGATTTGCATGTCCGTGAAATTGATAAAGTACCTTTCATCAATTCCTTGGCGAGTACAAGGATAGTCGATTCCTGTAATGGCCTGCTTTGTGTTGAAACCAGTCAGTATAAAAAATCTCCTCCTTCGCTTTCTTTGTGGAATCCTGCGACTACAACCTTCAGAGATTTGCCTATATCCATAACTGCAAATTGTTTTTTTAACTTTGATGATTGGGTGACAGGATTTGGTTTCGGCCCAATAGTTAATGATTACAAGATAGTAAGAACTTATGTTGCTGATTGTTGTGTTAATCGAGTGGAAGTGTTTTCTATAAGTAGAGAGTTATGGAAGGCAATAGATGTTGGAAACTTAAAGGGAGTGCTACTTAATTCTGAAACTGTCACAGCTAATGGATCCATACTCTGGATTGGGTTAGATCTACGTCTATATGAGGCGAGTGAAGACAATATTGAGGTTAAGGAGGGTGAATATGATGTTAGGGTGATAGTTTCATTTGACATAGCAAAGGAAGTGTTTACTTTGATACCAAAGCCCCATTTAGACTATGGTACACCTATGAAGCTTACTGCTTATGAGAACAAACTTGCCATGCTTTGTGACATTGGGAAAGGCGATGACGGAACATCTAATCTGATTGATTTGTGGGTGTTAGATGAGGGTAAATGTTCTTCTAGGGAGACATGGAGCTGGACTGCAAGATATGCAGGCAGCCCCTTTCTATGCCGGAGAAGCCATTCTTTTCTTAGCACGATATATTCAATGACTATATAGAGAAATGAAATTGTACTCTACAAACCTGATAAGAGGATAGTGAAAATGGAGGAAGAAATGGTTTATACATGATAAATCTCGCTACTAATGAAGTAAGAAGGTTTGTTATTCCCTATTGTTGCCCTATTCATAGTATTTGCAATTATGTGGAGAGCCGCATATCAATTGGCAAATATTTTAGATCATTCCATACCTATACTATTTAATGTTAATTATCACTAAATATGAGCACTTCTCCTGGTGAGATTCAAATCTTAGTTCATTATGTGGTGAGGGATTGATCCCATCTGCTAAACCCAACCTCCATTGATATCTGGTTATTCTATTTGTTTACCTCGCATTCTATATTTTTCCTTTGTTTTGGACTAATGAATGCATTTTCCCTTTTGCTTTGGTTGAGTTCAAGTTCCCTCCTCTTGCGTTACCTTTCAATATTTTAAAACCTCTACATTACTAGATGCGGAACCTTCCATTGGACGTGAACATTGTGCTGGTAAAAAAAAAAAAAACGAAGAGTTGAACATTGTTAGCTTTATGTTATGTTATATATATATATATATATATATATATATATATATTAATGTATGACTTAGTACATGGCACCTATAACGATAATTTGATATATATATATATATATGTGTATATATATATATATATCAATTTATGACTTAGCACATGGCCCCTATAACGATAACTATCAATTATTAATGATACATTAAACCTTTAACAAATAATTTTGTAATTTTTAATTTGAAGCTCCAAATTTATCCTCGTTTAACATGATTAATTTTTTTAAACAAATTTATCCAAAACAATTCTAACATTAACCAAGGTCAGCGGAAAGTTGCCGTTTCAAAATCGTGTTTCACGAAAAATTAATGTGATAATAAATTACATGTCTTAATAAAATCCATTTGGCTCAGTAAAATCAATTTTGTTAGGCTACAAGGTATTAATGCTAAGTTAGCACCATTAAGCTCGGGCCTAAATTTTTTAGAAAATTATAATAACTAACAATTCGGACAGCATAAAATAATATAGGGATAAAAAGTAATGGAAAAAAAGAAGCATATTAACCGAAATACCTGTTGAAAGTATAAGGAATTGGACCTTTTCACGAAGCCATATCCGCGTAGCTAATAGTCCAATAGTTCATGCCAGCCTATTTCACAATATTAGTACCACATAAGTGAAGGTTGTTAAACTCAGAACCAATGTTTTCATAAAATAATAGCGCTAACATTTTGGATGGTATAATGGATGAAAATTAACTCCAACAAAAGTATAAGATCAAAACCAAAATTTATTAAAAGTATGTAGATTCGGAATAAGTTTAACCCTGAACTAAAAGGTGGAAATTTGATCATAGGATTGTAACTTCCAAGAATGGTTATTGAAAAAAATGATGAGGTCTATTTTAAAACAACGGACTGAGTTAAGTTGTTTAGGGCCTGCTTGTTTTTGTTCCTTGTTTTCTTACTTTCAAAACAATTTTATAAAATTGTTTTTAAGAACAAGTTTTGGAAACAAAAAACAAAAAAAATTGTTTGGAAAATAATTTTTTTAAAAATCACATTTGAACAAAAAATAAAAAAATTACACTTTGACAAGTGGTAATGATCACCGGTAGTAATAAGGAGTCGGTAGTAGAGAAGAAAAGAATTTTTTAAAACAAAAAAATACAAAATACAAAAGGAAAAAAAAATCTAAAAGTTATTTTGATTTTTCAGTTTTTAAAAACATATTATTGTTTTTTTTAAAACAATCAACTAAAAAAAAATTGCCAAACAGGTTTTTTTGTTTTTCTGTTTTTAAAACAAAAAGCTGTTTTCAAAACAAGAAACCAAACAGGCCCTAATTTTTTCATTCTGCATTGCATTTTACATTTCTTTCTTCTTCTTCTCTTTTTCCTAACTAATGTATTTTCCTTTTACATTGGTTGAAGTCAAGTGGTTTTGCTGCCATTGTTCTTAATTTTTTTTTTTAAAAAGAAAACATATTTATATTTTGTCCATTGGAACTTAAAGTTCCAAATATATGTTTTATGTAGTAAATATTCTTCCATTTCAAAATGACGGTGGCTGGAATTTTACCTTTGTTTCAAAATGCTGGTCACTTTAAATTCAATAAATATTAGAAGTATTGTTTACTTGAAATTTATATTTTTGAAATTTGACAAGTTTAATAATTCCAGAAAGAAATAATTTACTTGCCCTAAAATCTTGCCATAAATATTTTGATGATAAGTAACAGTAAATCCCCCCCCCCCAAAACCCTTCTCCCAAACATAGCATAAGTTGAACCAAAGCTTGAATTTTTTTTTAGACTTAATTATTTGAGAAAATAAATTTTTTCGAACTCAATATATAATATGCAGGCAAAAATAAAAATATCTACTCAAAGTTTGGGTTCTTGGGCCGTAAACAAAAGTTTGGGTTTGGTTCAGAAAAATGAAAGGACCGACGATGAGCTAGCGACCCAAGTGTCTCTCCCTTCGACTATGGTAATTTGAAATCCCTAAAGGGTTTCGTTGACTGCGAGTGCTTTCTTCTGACTCTGAGAAATGCGTTTGAGCCGATATTCCTGAAGCAGATGGAAATGGACAGCCACCCGCCATATCTTCCTGAAGAAATCATCCTAAACATTCTCAAACGACTTCCGGTAGAATCCTTAATCCGATTTCAATGTGTGTGTAAACACTGGAATAATCTCATAAAAAGTCCATCTTTCATTGCGGACCACCTTCAACAGTCCAGTCATCAAAACCCTTCTCTTCTTCTCGATTGTAATAATAGTTGCAGTCCTTTGCGCTGGCGCTTGCGTTTGCTGGATTGGGGGATGCAAGTCCGTCTAGTTCAGAAAGCACCTTTGGTCGATTCCTTCGGGGGTGCTAGTATCATTGGTTCCTGCAATGGCCTGGTTTGTGTTCAAATCCATCAGGATGATAAATCTCCTCCTTCTCTTTCATTGTGGAATCCTGCCACTACAGCAGTCAGACATGTTCCTAGACCGAGAATTTTTTCTGACTTGGAGGATTACATGACAGGATTTGGGTTCAGTCCAATTGTTAATGATTATAAGATAGTAAGAACTTATTCGAAGTTTTACTATGAAGTTGATCGAGCGGAAGTATTTTCGTTAAGTAGAGGGTCATGGAAGCGAATAGATAGTGGGAACTTAAAGGCAGTGAGACTTAATTCTGAAGCTGTCACGACTAATGGAGCCATATTTTGGTCTGGGTTAAAGTTAGATGCAGATGAAGATGGTGAAGATGGTGTTCAGGTGATAGCTCGGGTGATAGTATCATTTGACATAGTAAAGGAAGTGTTCACATTGAGTCCATGGCCTGATTTAAACTTAAACTGTACGAGTGGAGATGAAAAGCTTACTATTTATGGGAACAAACTTGCCATACTTTGTGACGTTTGGCGTAGGGATAATGAAAGATTTGATTTGATTAGGCTGTGGGTGATGGAGGAGGGTACATGTGCATTTGGGGAGAGACGGAATTGGACTAAAATATATACTAGCCCCTTTTCAAAGACATTCGATCCGGTGACTATTTGGAGGAACCAAATTGTCTACACACGGGGGGGTTCTGCAGTGCCTAGTAAGAAAGGAAGAACTGTTCATTTGATGAATCTCACTACTAATGAAGTCAAGAGGTTTGTTGTTCCCTGTTGTGGCTCTATTAAAAATATATACAATTATGTAGAAAGCCTTGTATCAGTTGGCAACAACTACATTGAAGAATCTTGATCCTAAATCCAAGTTACTACATTGCAAACTTACATTGTTGGGGTACTCTTGGTGGAATGGAATCTCTCATAATTTGGATGATTCTATACCCATATTATTTGATGTTATTTAGAGTTATCTAGAATAATGAATGCAGATATTAAGAAGCAATTGTGCCTGTTATTTGGGACTACTTGTCCTTCAATGTGCCAATAGTCTGTTTTTGTTGTTGGGTGAAAAATATGCCACTGATTTACTATATTGCATGAGATTGAGAGGCCAGAAAAGTACGTAATCTCTCTCTCTCTCTCTCTCTCTCTGCGCTTTAAATTAAAACCTCTTTGTCTGCAAGTTTCGAGTTTTCTTGCTTAATGATGTTATATGAAATATCCATTACTGATGGGAGTTGTCTAGTTATGGATTTTGTTCTAATTGTTTACCCTGCATTCTATCTTTTTGCTTTCTTCTATTTTGGACTGATGAATGCATTTTCTTTTTTGCTTTCATCGAGTTCAGGCTTTTCCCCTCTTGCATTACCTTTTGATGTTTAAGCTTCCATTGGAAGTGGACAATGTTAGCTTTATCTGTTAAATTTCATTAAGATGTCACAGTTTGCATTGAAGTTTTGTTCAGTCATTCATACATACATGAGCACACGCGTGCGCCCCTTAACCTCGGGATGGGGTCGGAAATTTTTGAAATTTTGTTATTTGTGTAGGCATTTTCATGCTGTTCCATTGATTTATTGAAGATGCTTCATATATATGTGCAGTCATTCATATACATGAGCACACGCATGCGCCCCTGTTTTTTGAATTGCTTCTGTATCGACAGTCTTTTAAATAAGCTTATATGTAATATTACATTCAAAAATTATGGTAACTAATGAAAGATAAACAAAGGATGACTTCATTTGTTTTGGCTCCTTCCTACAAGTTGCAGCTTGTTGAGAGAACTTATACCAGCAAAATTTATAAACCCATATTACAATTTACAATTACAACCTATAAGAATTACAACCTAGAGGAAAGACAACATCTATACCAGTATACCTACGGACAAAAGTCTTCGCTTTATCATCTTCCATTTTGGAATTGCTGCCTCCCCCTTCAAATAAGCAATAAATTGAAGATAAATCTTACTAAAGAACCACATCATCAATAATCAAAAAAATAAACGAAGGAAATAAAGGCAAGATTGCAAGATGTCATAAATGAAGAAAAGTTAACTGATTAGCTGCTCTAATACCTGTAATTTCTTCCCACAAACCAAACAGAATCTCATCGATTCGAAGAACATAAGAACTTAAGAGGAAGAATTGCAAGTGCTTGCGCAAAAAGAATTTAAAGAGAAGACAAAGAAACGGAAAACCAAAGCATAGAGCGATACAAAAAAAGTTCAGAAAACAGGGGTCACCAAAGCATAGAGCGATACAAAAAAAGTTCAGAAAACAGGGGTCACCAAAGCTCTGCGTTGGAAAGCCAAAGTCAAGAGATATATACATATACTTAAATATTATGACTGTTTTTATAGTCAATGATTCCAAACTTACCAACAGTTTATTTGAATGGGCGTCTGCCAGCGTTTACTTCTTATTTGCAGGGAAACACACATCTTCAAACATTTTGAACATTGTTCCCTGAGGAGCAAAAGGTAATATCCTATCAACGAAACAATTGAACTTTTACAAAACACAAGCACATGGAAGACTCAAATTTTTAAAAGACACCTTCTTCTAAATGGTGCAAGGAACAAAATAGAGAGCTCACACAAATTAATTACTGACTTTGATATTTGATGAATGATTTGATCTCCCATCTTCACCTCCAAATCACCATCTCAATATCCTCATTTCTGTTACCTCAATTAATTAAAATTGAATAAATAAGAAAATTGCATTAAAATTAATCAATATTTAATCATAATCAATTCAGGATGAGAATCGCAGAGAAATAGTTATGGTTTTGTTGGACAAAAAAGTTATGACTTTTATTACTAGATTTAGATATCTTATATAATGTTTTTTAAGAAAATAGAATCCTCTGATTGGATTTAGTCTGGTAAGATTTTTTATTCTAAAAATCATTTTTTTAACCTGATTTGATTCTCAAAAATGGAACCAAATAAATTAAACAGAAAAGAAGTGATTCTACAAAAACCTCATCAGCCCTCTATAACATTTTCAAAAGGCTTCCGGTAAGATCCTTAGATCGGTTTCAATGTGTTTGCAAATATTAGAAAAAGCTGATAAGAAATCTCATCAAGACTCTGTCTTTCATCGAAGATCACTTCCACTAGAGACGTCAGATCAGAGAGGTACGCCCCAGAACTATAGTGTGCTAAATATATCACTATTGATGGAGTTATGTTTTGGGATGATATGATGGGCTATGTTAAGAATTATCTACATTCAGTGGACCTATCAAAGGAAGTGTTTGAATTGATACCAATGCCTCTATTCCATTGTCATAGATGCCTTGCTGAGTATGAGAACAAACATGCTCTGGTTGCTCGCATGGAAGGAGAGGATGAATTCAATTTGATTCACTTGTGGGTGCTGGAGGAGGAGACGTGTCCATCCGAGGACTTGGACCGAAAAAGATGGGAATGGACTAAAATATATATTAGCAGACCTTGTCCATGGGATTGCTTAAATCCAGTGAGTATTTGGAGGAATGAGATTGTCTTAGTGCCTTTTTATCAGAATGAGAATAATTATCAAATGGCAATTTTATATATGCTCAATCTCACTACTGATGAGTTTAAGAGGCCTGATATTAGATCTCACTCTTCCAACTTTGATCGAATAAGAAAAAGAATGTCTGTCTCTTATCGTAAAAGAGATATCGAGATTTTCAATTACGTGGAAAGTCTTGTATTAGTCAATCGGCACTATTAACATTGAAGAATTTTGATCTCAATTTCAAGTTGCAAGTTTACTTTAGCAGAAGACTACTTTTTGTGGAAATTCATACATAGTAGTTTATCTCGTAATTTACTTTTAGTTGTTAAGTTCTTCTTGCAAAGTTATGAGTGGAATGATAATTTATACATACTTTGGAAATCAGTCTTCGAAATTTCTGTTGTTTAGTTTTTTTTTTTTTTCCAGTTCTTACTATTGTTTTAATCTTTGAGGTATTATTATCTGATTTGGTAAAACATCGTAACTATAGAAAACAACAGAATGAGGACTTTATAAATTGGTGACCTTTTTTAGGCTAAGAGACAGGTCTTCTTTTCCTCATTATGACTTTAGTACTTTCCCTTGACTTGGATATTTTTATATGTTATGTTTCTCTTTTTTTTTAAAAAAAAAAATCCTCTTTGATTCGACCTAGTCAAATAGGATTTTTTTTTGTTCTCCAAATCGCACCAACCAAATAAATAAATTAAAAATATTACAAGCATAATTTAATTATAAAAAAGCCTAAAAAATCGAATCAAGCTTAATTTGATTTGGTTTGATTTCTGAACAACATAGATTTAAAGAGAATAATGATTTCTTCATTCTTATCGTAACTCTCGATCACCTCTTTTAATTAAACAGAGGCTGAGCGTTTGGCAGCAAGAGATCGAGGGTCTAATTTTAGGTGAAAAATTTAATGGCACAAAGGTTTGTATCGAAACTGATTGTGAAATATATTATTTAAAATTTGAGAGAAATTTTTTTTTTCTCTACGTAAATTTCGGACAAATATAATTGGCCAAATTTGGAAACAGATTTCACAGGTCAATTATGCTGAAAGGTTATTGTTATATAGTTGGCAAAAAATTGTCTAGCGTTATATGCGAGATTGAGTCAATTGTTTTCCTCTCTCTCTCTCTCCCCCCCCCTCCCCCCTTCTGTATAATCATTTTCTTAACGAAATTGATCGGAAAAAGTTTCATTTTAATGGTCAAAAGCAGACAATTCTCATTTTATGGAAGAAAGCGCACACTTGTCCTTTTCATTTTACATAAACTTTCGTTTTAATCTCTTAATAATTAATTTTATAAATTATCTTTCTAATCATATAATTTTCACACTTTTAATTTTAATAACAAAAATATTTACATTAAAATTTATGTTAAGATGCATTTAATATTCTAAATTATTTTTAAATGTGCATTCAACACTCTCAAATAAAATACTAGGAAAAGTAATACTCCTCCGATCCTTGATATAAGACTTATTAGATTAAGGGGGTGTTTGGATAAAACCACACTATGGTTTGGAGAATAACTTCTGAAGAATAGATTTTGGGAAGAATAGATTTTGTGAAAAAGTGATTCTAAGAAGTGAGAGTGTTTGGATAGTTGTTATCAGAAGCACTTTTTATATATACAAATTACTAAAAAAAAGCATAAGTTAATATGATAATTACATTAAAAATAGATTTTATGACATATTTTAATTTGAAGGAATAAAATTGTTAATGATATATTTTTTATCAACATAATTAATAATATATAAGATAATATAATTAATAAATAATTAATAAGTGTATATATATTTATAAGATATAAGATTAAATATGTTTATAAGAAAATAATTGAGGGGTGTTAAAATCATATTATTGTTGAGATCTACTCTCAGGCTCTCCCTCGTACTGCGTTTGAAACAATGAGAAAGAGATAAATAATTGGGAAGGGTATATCCGTCTGGGCCCAAAAAAAAAACAAGGCACATATCTTATTGGCTCTCACACTCTCTCTTTTTTTCCCAAAAGCAGAAAATTTTTGCTTCTCCAAAATCATGGTTTCTGGGCCAAAATAATGGTTTTGGTTTTTTTTTTTTTGGTGTTTGGGTGATTTTTGCCCAAACCATAGTTTGAGTCATCACCCAAATACCCTCTAAGAAAGTTAAGTAAATTAGTTAGTTATAAAATATATGACATGTTTTTCTTAAAATATTATAATCATCTTTCTTAATATCCTCTCTGCCTTACTGACTTGATTATGGTTAAATGAGTATCTATAGGGATAATTTAAAAAAAAATCAATATATATGAGAAATAGGTCTTATATTTAGAACTAAAATT